TTTTCAAGAAATCTACACATAAGACATTTTTTTAGCCAGAACAAAAGACCATTTTTGTTACAGAAATTAACCAACTATCTATCAAAAATTAAATTTACCACATTTCTTTTTTTATTTGCTAGAATTATTTATTTTCTTTTTTTTTAAATTGCTCTAGGGCACATGAGCTCACCAGGTAGAAAGAGAGCGAGAGAGACAGACAGACAGACAGACAGACAGAAAGTGAAAAAGCAAGCTATCAGGCTGGGAACTCGAACTGTGGCTGGCCATGTGGAAATCCAGTACCTTAGTCACCATACCACCTGCTGGCCCCAAATTTAACACATTTCTTATTTATTTATTTATTTAGTGAGAGAAATTTTTGCTATAGGGCATTTTGTACTCGCCAGAGAAACAGAGAGAGACAGAATGTGAGAAATCAACCCCCAGGATGGCCACACCACCATCCCTTCTCCTTCAGTCTTCTCTCAGGATCTGGGGCACTCATGCACACACGCCCAACATGAGTTTTAAGCCACTGGGTCTGGGAATTGAACCACAGTCCACTATGTGGGAGTCCAGTGCCGTAACCATTATGCTACCTGCTGGTTCCAACACATTTCTCAATAAATACAAAGAATGCCAAAGGAACAAGATAGAGAATATTTTAACACTAGACTGCCTGGCACTGAGTCTTCCTGATCTCAGACATCATACAAACTGCCCTCCCTCCACCCCCAACACACACACACCATGTGCACAGCCTACAGCAAAGGGAAACTGAGTCATGAGGTAACCAGGTCATTGACCTGATGACTCATAAAGAAGGCATGTCTCCTTTTCCCCCAGAGGTCTCATTCCAGCGCACATTAGCAACAAGGTCAGAGAGCTACAAGACACACCTAAGTCAAAGGATGAAGCTTCAGAGCAGCACAAAAAATTTTTTGTGTGACACTTATGAGGAGACTTCAAAAAGCTAATGGAAAATAGAATTAAAGTACAAATTTATTTTGATGCCAAAAATAAATCTATGCATAGTTTTTACATAATATGCATTTTCTATGAACTTTTTGAAGACCCCCTTGAAATCTGTGTGAAGAATCTTGCTCGCACCTCAATCCCTGCTGGGAAGGGGGGCACCATCCATTCCTGCGGGAGAGGGGAGTCCCAGTGCTCACACTCATACTGGCCAGACAGCCAGGACATGCTCCCTCTAGAATTATTCTCCTGCAGTCCCTTTTACCCAACCAGTAGAGCCCAGGAAATTGGCACCACCGTTAAATAGCCCTCATACGGGGCAAATCAGGAACACTACTTCTGTGTGCCTTCAGACTTAAAGAATCCTGGTGATCTACAATCAACTGCTCCAATAGGGAATTAAAATCAGTAAGTCTGCTTCAGATACATCCACCATCATCTGTGGCTGGGGATAGACCACAGTGTAAAGACCACCAGGCTGTTTGTCTTTCTTACTCATGGAAGAAAAAATTTCTGTAATTTTTGCTAGAAAGCATATGCCTTCGCCAGAGACACAGAGGGAGAAAAGCACCCCCCCCCCGGGCCTTGTGACTTGGTCACACCACAATCCATTCTCCTCCATTTTGCTATCCTGTAGGAATTTCAGGACACACAGCATACATGTGCCCTGAGTGTTTTCAAGCTACCAGGGACTGAGACTCAAACTGCAGTCAGACATGTGGGATCTAGCTCCCTACTAGGCCACAGGACCAGCTCCCAAAAAACTTTTAAAACTTAAGATAATAATAATAATAACAATAATAAAAATAAAAACAGCAAACTTGACAAGGACCTCTGGACTGGTTTTAGACTTCCCTGCAGTAAAACTCACAATCATTTTTTTTAAGAATTATTTTTATTTAACTTTATTTATTATTAATGTCATTATTTTTTTCAGTTTGATCAGAGAGAGACAGAGAGAGAGAGGAAGTGAGAAAGCAAGCCACCAGGTCTGAGATTTGAACCGTGGTCAGCCATGTGGGAGTCCAGCACCTTTAACCACCACGCCACTTGCCAGCCCCAAAACTCACAATCATTAAAGAAGGCAGTGAAGTCGCCACTCACAAGTCTAAATGCAGACACGTGTGGCCCCCATTCCTTGTCCCCTGCTAGGAGTGTGCCTGAGATTGCCCTTTGTTTTGTAGCTCAGTCGCCCCATAAAACTACGGTGACCCTGTGCTAATTACTGCCATGTCAGTCACAGGGAACTCTGGAGATCAGTGGGGTGGAACCACTCCCCTAGGAGGCTGAAACCCAGAGCAACCCACAATGAGTATAACACATGCACTTTCTAAACACCACACACAGGCTTGCTTTGTGGATGCTGCACTTTCCTTGCCTCAGCGCTGCACGAAATTCTATGGGCAGCCTGTCACAAAGCCAGCTGCCCTCCAATAGCATACCCGATGACCCAAATGGGAAAATGACACGTCTTTGTCAACACAGCCACCTTTTAAAAATGCTTCTGCCAGCTGCCCACAGATGACACCTCCAGCAAGCTCTTCACAGCTACTTGGCTGCCAGCCGGCTTTGCCACATGCATGGAGGCTCAGCCCACCCAGAGAAGGCACTGGAAAGTGCTCAAGGGCCACAGGTGCACACAGTACTCCTTGGCAACAGTGGGGGAACCTCTTAAGCCTACCACAGGTATCCTTAGAGGGGACAGCCCCACAGATGGGCCTCTACAAGCAGGCCTAGCTCCCCACCACAGCCACATCTGGCAGGAGCTTAGGGAGTCCTACGTGATAGGGCTGCCACTGGGAAAAACACCACCAGACCAGGTGCCTGCAGTGCGCCCTCAGAGCAAGGCCAGGTGTAGGTCACTGGTGGGGAGGGGAGAAGGGCTGGAAGGCAGACAATTCCACCCCGCCCTGGGAAATACTGCTGGGAAGCATTCTCTGAGAGCCGGCTCCTGCCTGTGGCTCACAGTTGCTACCGTGGCTTCCAGGTTCCCGGGAAGGGTATTCGACCTCAGGAAAGATGGGTGCTCTCAGAAGACCTTGTGTGAAACATCTTTCAAGCTCCCCGCCCTTAAATTCCTTGGTAGTTTGCATTCTGGTGTCTAGTAAGAAAGTGATCTTTCCTCTGGAGGGCACTGGCCCATGAGCCCCCTCCACTTGTTTATTCTCAAGTGAAAGATACCAGGGCACCAAGAAGCCTGGGATCAGCCATGTACCTCCCAAGGGCCCTTTTCCAGCAAGACCAGGGCCCTTCTTAGTGACTCTTTACTCTTCTTTCCCTGGAGAGCAACTGGCTGTACCAATAGTCAATTCTTCAGAGTTAGTTTTGAAATTTTACATCACAAAACAACCACTAGAGCAAAACTAACTCCACCCACAATGGCTCCAAGTCTCCCAAGACCATTGTTGGGTAAATATCTCCATTTCTGCACCACTTATCATTCAAATTAAGATTTTGCCACACTTCTGTTGGGATCTTATCACTAACAAAAGTGACTTGGAGCTGGCTGCAAGCCTTGTTTCAGTTAAGAGAGGCAGACGTTGAGGCCAAAACCCTGTCTGTGTCGTCAATGCTTTGGAAAAGCAAAACATTGTCATGTCTCACTTAGCTACATATATAAATGCTTCAGAGGACTCAGGGCATAAAAGAATATCTTAAAATTAAATTTTATCTTTTTAATTCTCCACAAGTAGCATGTTCTATTACCACTTCAGATGCTTAAACTTACATCTCACCCTCCTTGAAAAAATACCATTCATCAGATGCTACTTTTATAAAGATAGAAACAATCTTTAACATTGAAAGGCTTATCCCCTTGTGAAACTGAACACAGAGGTCTTGTTAAAAAGTTAAAAAGAATTTGGGTTGGGGACAAAGAAATATCAAATACAATTTTAAACACAGAATACTTTGATTGGAAAACTCAATTTTTGTTTGTTAAAGCCATAAAAGTAGAAAGAAACTGCTCCTAAACACCTCTAGGGCAGTAGTTTCAATTTCACCTGGGGCATTTGTTGGAAACACAAACTTTCAAGCTCCACCCCAGAGACTGACTCAGAAAATCCAGGGTGGAGTTCAGGAATCTGTAGCATTTTTTAAGCACCCCAAATAATTCTAGGTAAAACTAAATGTAGATAACAATTACTAAGTAAATGGGGATTTAAATGCTGGTGTTTAGCCCTAAACTGTTCAACAGAATCCTAAGAACCACCAAAGCAGCTTCGTAAAATCTCACTTGCCTGGGGCCCCTGCCCTGGGTCTCACTGAGGTCTGGGGTGGGGGCCAATGATCTTAAAGAGCATTTCAGGTAAATTTTGGAAACATTAGAAGGAAAAATGCTCTTTGCTTGAGGAAAACTGAGTTTCAATCAACGCTTTACAGAAACAAATTCTGTGATCTTCATAAAGTCTCTAGGCATCTCCCATCCTGCGGTAGCTCAAATGGCTCCCAGGTTAGCGGCGTGGCTGAAATAAGCTCGGGTACAATGAAGGTGCATTTGAAGACAGCCACGTCTCCCAGCAAACACAGTTGAGCAAAGGAAACTCAATGATACAGCAGAATATAACATATTATGATAAGCAGTGCTTTGTGTAGATGAGTAAAAAAAAAAAAAGAAAAGAAAAAGAAAAGAAAAGCTGGAGTGGACGTGGTAAGCCAAAGCAATTGAAAAATCGCAGGCACTGGACTGTGAAACCACAGACCTGATAGTCTTTCTGACCTGCATTAAAATACATGTATATGCCCACTCTGATAAAAACCTGGAAAATAAAACAATTTAAAGCTCTTCAAACCAAAACTTTTTGCTTTTATTTGGGTAGATTTAACAATAAAATATGATATAGATCTTAATTAAGAGGTTTGTAAAGTACTTAAGTTTGTCATTTTGTTGACATTTAAATGTAATTTCCTTTAAAAACCATTCTTAGGTATCAACTAACTGAACTGTTGGTTTAGATTATTGTATTACCAGATAAGATAAAATTCGAGATAATTTACTGGAGAGCAACCCACTAACTTAGAAGTTTCTACTGTTTTACACTTACCCCTGAGGCTGTCGGTTGTGTTGTAGGGGAAGTATTTTTGCTGCAATCATCTGAGTTAGAAGAGGTGGACGTTGGAGTCATAGGAACAGAATTATTGCTATTACCTGCAACAGTCAATTCAACCTTATAAATACACATACACAGTACTTCTAGGGTTGGCAAATACTTCACAATCAAATGGCATTTTATTATATTTACCGGAGCAGGTTTTTGACTTATTTATGTTCTTAGGTTTTCGTTTCCTGGTTTGGATTCCCTCTTTTTTCATGGCAAGTGGTCGAGGCACCTAAAAAAGTTTCACACAGGCCATAAGTTTAATAACTACTATATGGAAGAAAAAACAAACTAAAGACCCAACATTGGTACTGAAAGCCCTCATTTAAAAGAACTTGGCATAAATTTCAATCCAATTTTTATAAGTCCTTAATAGACTGCATTATACAAAGACGATACTATCCCCATCAAATGCAGAAATTCCTTCAGAAAAAAGTGGGGTGATTTGTCAAAGGGAATTTAATTCCTTCAACTTAATGTTTATTTCTTGAAACAAATTATAGAGTAAATATTTATTGATAAATATTTTTATTGTAAGGAGAGCATATAACCTTTTTCCTACAGACACACGTATTATATTCGGAGCAATCATTTAAAATGAAACAGAACCTTTGAAACTATCAAATGCATCACTCTTTTGTACAAATGTCTTTGATTACCTTCAAAGGTTTTAAAAGTTAAGATACAAACTAGTTATTGGTCATAGCTTTTCTAGTTGGTTTCTTTAATGGCACAGTTCAAAAAATGGTTACTAACATGTTATCAATTCTAAAATGCATTTTCCCACATTTTCACCTTTCCAAAATTGGAGTGTGCCTTACTATGGATGTTTGTTATTGGAGTTTAATTGTAGGCAATTTTTGTTTCTTACTGGCTCATATGATAAAAATTCCAATTATAACTAGTAACATCTTAGATTCAATAAAGTACATATACACATGCGAATTTTTCACTGTCATACCCTTTCATTTGATTTTTTTTTTGAGAGGTTTTTTTTGCTATAGGGCGCATGCGCTCACCAGACAGACAGAGAGAGACATAGAGACAGAAAGTGAGAAATCTTGGCCCGGGGGGGATGGCCACGCTGCAATCCCTTCTCCTCCATTCTCCTCTCGGGACGTTGGGCACGCACGCACACGTGCCCGGCGTGAGTTTTAAGCCACCAGTTCCAGGACACGAACCATGGTTGACTACGTGGGAGTCCAGCGACATTGCCATTACACTAACTGCTGGTTCCCTCATTTGATTTTTTTAAAACTAAAACCATGCACAAGGCAGATACTACATGCATATACACATGAAATGATTAAGCAGCGCACCCCATGGAGTTTCATGTAGAGTCCACAAGCATTGCACACGGGTTCTCCCTCAGCATTTCTGCGCCATAAAGTGGTAGTTGTGGTATGACAGTTGGCACAAGACAATCCGAGCCGCCGTGACGAGGGCTAGAAAACAGCACAAGAAAAACAGAAATGATTTTTATGTATATGCTACATTCATACATTGATGTAGCATGCCCCTGCCCTCAACAAGCAAGTGCCTGGTTTATTATAAACTGAAGTGACACTTGAGAAAAAGATTTTATGTGCAATCGGGTTGGCCTTCTTGGACCAAGAATGCTGAGATTTGCACCGTGTGCTCAATCCCATACATTTATTTGGTTTGCTCCTCCAGAACATTATGGAAGATTATACAAAGAATAGGGAAGCCGTCATGTGTGGGCCCATAACTCCATGCAAAGCTTTCACGTGCATCGTAAGATAGAGTTTCACTGATGGTTTTTTACTTCAAGAATTTAGTTTCCCAGTTACTGATGCTATTGTACTTTTGAAAGGGGGATTAGATGATTTTCTAAATTGCCCAGAGTCTTCTTCCAAAACATGGCAGAAGTAGCAATATAACTGGATATTAATCTTGGAGTTCCTCCCCACCTCCACCTGTGAACAGCACTTGGCTAAGACTATAGTCACAGGTCTGAAAAATAAGAGTCATGAAAAGCAATCAGAAACCACCTGCCAATGTGCAAAATGGCTTTGGGCAGTCTCCACCTGAAAGCTGGAGTTAATCAGGTCTATTTCTCAGACACGCAGAGAAATAAACCAGAAAGTGGAAGCACTTTTAGGCATTGATAAAAATGGATCTTAGAAAAGGTATGAAATGTTTGTAAGGAAACAAATATTATTTTGATACACTCCATAATTATCATCATGATTGTCTGCTGCCTGAATTTCTGTTTTAGCTGTTTTATAAAGGATAGAAGCAAAATTTACAGCATTGTTTTAATGCGGGCATTGTGTATACAGTGATACTACTGTATTTAATTTGCTCTGTAGTATTATAGTCACTTTTTATTCATTCAGAGGGTTAATAGGTATTACCAGGAATGGCCACCTGTTTGGCAAATTTGTTCTCATTTTCATGTTCCCTCTATGGCCTTAATATTCTTAGAGGAAATTTATTTCCTCTATATTGCTATGTATGACTTATAATGAGAATTAAAGCTAGTATAATTTCTTCCCCAGAATGGCAAAATGTAAAATTTGTTTTAAAATGACCAAATTTAAATTGATTTCTACACTTGTTTTAAATTACTATAAAAATTCTGCCATTACTTCAGGAAAAAGCAAAAACTATGGGGAAAATTCAGGAGAAATTTGAAACTTTCGAATTGGGGATGTCAGCTTTACTAGTTAGCAAATAAATAAATAAAAATGTAAAGAAAGAAGAACACACATAAAAATTGAACACGTATTGAATATTCAGATTAGAGTACAGAACTTCCAGATCCTTAGTTGGCAAATTAAAAAGAGTAAATTGGATTTTGCATTTACAGTTTGCATCCTGCTAATACAGGACACTTTAACGTTGCCCTTCACAGACAAGATATAAAAGCAGAGAGACACTGATAAGCCTTTTAGCACTACAACATTTCTAAGAAGTTAGTGCTAAGAATCAATTTGACTTTTAGTGGAAATGAGTATGCATGGCTGACAGCAGATTTGGGGAACTGCTTTGCTAAATGGTCGAACCGTATTAATAAAACCTTACACACCAGGCTTCTTTCCTTCCTTTTTTTTTCTCTCATTGCGCTTATATGATAATAATTTTATAGGAGAGCACTCCTTTCTCTCCATAAATGTGAAGTCAGTACATAAGGGACAGAAAGGTTCATTTTATAAACAGGCCATTTATGACAGTTTCCAGTGGAATTTGGAGCCAATGTGAGGCAAAGTTGTTATCAGAATTTGCCATTATAACAAAGAACTTTATGACTGTCAACTGCAGATCATAAGTGAAGCCAATCCTCATAAAGTATGTGAAATGAAGGTGAATGGGTTATAAAAGTTCCTTGTAACAAGTGATCTCGGTTATATTCCTCACTGACAAGGAATTCAAGTTACACCATAAATCTCTTATTTTGCAATATATTGCAAGTTCAAATTCAAAGTGATTGGTTCTGTACTGCTGGCTAAACAAACTTGGGTGCAACATTTTACTTCTGAGAACTTAGACCCATCAAAACCATAAATAAGAAACCCACAAGGAGAACTAATTGATAGTGACACACCTTTCAATTGGTCTCATTTATAACCCATTTACAAAGCATATTGGCTGACCTTGGTTACTGCCAAGACACCTGCTACACAGAAAAAAACTAATTGATCTAGAAATTTTTTAAAAAGAAAGAAACATTGTTCTTTCTGGTAAGAGGTTTTTTTCTGGTAAATGCATAAAATAAATGGCACTATCTAAATATGAACATTACTACGTCAAATTTGTAAAGCAACTACAATATGAATGGCTACAATTCCACCAGATTTTTGCCCAATCTCATGAAAAATGTTACACATCAGAGCTGCACAGAACTCAGCTCAATGTGTCATTCCAAAAAATAATAATAGTCACATTGTTCATGCATTGTCTAATACACGAAAACAAGGAACTTCCTTGGAATATTTTCCAGTGACTGCTTTTTCTTTTTAAATATGATGCATGTGAGAAAAATGAAAGGGAGTCACACACTGAAGGGCGCCCTTTTAAAAAATGTTAAGCTGTGGGAGGTTGTAACAGAGTTAAAGGAACATACGCTCACTAAATTAACCGCGGCCACTTTATTTTAAATGCATTAAAAACAAAACAACCATAAAACTAATTGCTTCTCTTTAAGGTGTCAGACTTACATTGTGATGCAATTTCAGGCTAATCTATTTAACACAAACAACACGGGTAGCATTTGTTCCTGCTAATTAGAGTATAACAATTAAATAAATTACTTTGATACTTAAGCTGTCTGGCATCTAACTGTAAAATATTTTACTTTAAAAGGTATTAGACTATGCGTACTTGGCTAAACAAATGTTAGCCTTATGGTGGGGGTCTGTGAAAGCTTTCATTTATTTTCTCTAATCGTTATGGGGTAAATACCCTCTCCTGCTAATAAACATACATAAAAATGACAATAAGATTAATCTGTGAAGAAAATTAGAATTCCCACACTTTAAAACATGGTAAAATGTGTTCAAATTGGTGGAAAATTCTCCACTTGAGAACAGAGAATACCCGGTTTCTCAAGTTCTATGTAGTTCTCTGAACAGCCAGATTTCAAAATAACAAAAATTAGGAGTAAATAGTTTTCAACAGCATCAAGGGCAATCTAAAAGACATGGGATTTGGGGCAAAATTTGTGCTTTTGGAAGATGAGCGGTAGAGAGACCCAGAGGTAGAAACAAAAGGGACCCAGGTGAGGCTGTCAGGAGGAGACAGCGAGCAGGGGGTTTCGGCCATACCCTATTTAAGGGGGAAGTTACAAGTGAGCAGGATGTTTCAAGAACAAAATACAAACCAGGCTAAAGAACACAGGTGAAAAGAAATCTTTGTACCTGGCCTCTTCGGTCTACTCAGCTTTTCTTCTGAGTTACCGCCATTACTAATTTTCTTGTGTACCCCTCCAGAATTACCTCGTGCATTGGCAGATTACATCTAGAGATGTGTAAAAATGGAGTCTTGTACTATTTTTAAAATGGTTGCACTCTGCACCTTCCCTTTTATCTTTCAGCATGATGTCCCCCAAGCATAGCTACAGGGAAAGGCAGTCGCTTCCCAGAAGCGGTTTCGGGGTCACCTCCACAGGGCGCCAACCGGCAAGCGCTGGAAACGTCCCGGGACTGAATAGCTCAGCGGGTCCCTCAGGCTGGCTGGGACCGCGGCCGCCGCACCTGTCCCTGCAGGGACGGCAGGGCCGGACGCCG